AACATATAATGATTGAAGTCATATCTATATATTTTTTTATATATATATTTAATCAAATTGCTGTAGTTACATGAGCTAATTCCAGTTTCCCTATTTTTTACACGTACGTTGCTACTTAGAATCTGGTTTTCCTTTGAAAAAAGTGGAGCAGCCTAGGGAATACCAGGTCATATTTGTTAAGAATTTACACCAGTTTTCTTTCCACAGTCACAGTTATCACTAACAACATCTATAATAATATATTTAACTACCTGTATTTTTCCCCTGACAAACGTATTTATGTCATTCTCATTTTCAAAGATTGAAAGAGTTTGCAATAAATTCTGTTCAAGCCATTCCCAGTGCTCAGTGATTTCCTTCCTTGAGCAACCTGTATATTACAAAAAAAAAAACAAAAAACAAAAAACAGAAGTCACAAAATAATTCACCAATGTCAATATCCTCTTAATCATAAACAAAAGACGAATAAAACTCGCCAGTAACTGGAGATGCAATATTTCACCACATGCTGTGTCCCTGGAAATTCCAAAATTTTCTCCCATAGTCTTTAGTTTCATAATAAATGGGTAGCAATCTTCACGATTATTCTGTGAGAAGCACAAGCTACTTATGTGAGTATCATGAGCAAAACCCCCCCTACGTTTAGAATTCCAACCACAATGATGACATTGAGCTGCCCAATGTCACATTAAAGAGTTAGCAAAGGTATTACCTGCACCTATTAGGAACTGACAAAAAACCCCAATGGTTGTATATTCTACCACTGGTTCCTAATTCTTCACCATTATATACATCTAGGAATTATGAAACAATGATAACATTTCAAGAGTAAAAGCTGAAAAAGATAATTTTCTTGGGAAGTCTATTACAATGTCTCTTCCTCAAAAGAAGAGTGCTGAAAGACCACTCAGCAAGCTGTATCTTTTTAGGGGAAGAGGGTTGTCAGAGGTGGTTTATATTTAATGATGAAAGAATAAACTAAGCTTTGATGACCCTAGTTTGCTTAGGACACCAGAAGGGGTCAGGCGAGATATCTTTGATACTAAGGAATCATGTAGTCTGTAAAGTAGTACAAAAAGGCTTCTTGTATGAACTAGAGTTTACATACGGAAACTTTTGCTTCTATTTTACTTGAGATGGATTGTAATAAATACAATTCCATTTTGACCCCATTCTCAACATCTGGCAGAATAAACCTGTTGGTACTATGCAAGATCTCTCTGTGCCCACCTGAGGGAAGAATAAATTCAAGCACTCAAAAAAATTGTGCCCAGAAAAAAAGGATGTTGAGGGAATTATGTCAAAACTGGGACTTGTAAGTATTTTCAGAAAACAAATGCTACATGTTCACATAGAAACATCTGTACTTGAAGCTTGACTAAAAGCATCTCAATCCAGCTAGGAAATAGCATCAATACTACTCCATCTTTTTGTTCAAATCACAGATTTGGCTCATTTTACTCAGAACTTGCAAGTAAACGTACCTACCTGCTAACTAATGCCTACACAATCAAAGTGAAGGGGCTCATGTGAAGCAACCATCACAGAGGCTAAATGACAACCAGCTGTTGCTAATAACTTCTTCAGTTTTGTTACAGGCACAAATTGTCATATGTCCACACATAAGCATTTCCTTGGTTTGTGGAAGAACTCAATGCAACCATACTGAATACATACCAAATGATTGCTTTCCTTGTTCAGCAACAAACAATGGGAAAAGTATTCTTTCTACAGTATACAATCAGAGCTTCACACAACTCCAGTGAAAGCAACAGAACACAACAGTCTGTGGAACTTCCAGGGAAATTTCACAATTCTAGCTGTAGTGTGGATACATAAATGATGTTGCAGAATAGCCTGCATGTGTACCCAATGTCAGAACCACAAGTGATTGCCACTGTTGCTTCTCCTTAAAACTACTGGATGCAATCAGACTTTTCTGGAACTCAGGAGGTGGTCTGAACACTCATTTATTTCTTCTTGGCTTCTACATTGCTGTAAAAAGCAATGATGAAATACATGAGCTATGTATATAAAACTAGACTGTCATCAGAAAAATCACTCATCTCTTCAAGAGCAGTGACAAGCAATGCACACTATCAAGATGAACTGTATCTTAAAGCTCTCTAATTCTTGTCTGCAGTTCTTCAATTGCTTTTTGTCTCCACTATCTTACTGTTTACTCTCCCAGTCTCATGTAGAGCAGATCATGCAGTCAGGCCAAAACCCACACCCCAGTTCTCATCAATTTGTTATCACAGTCTAGATCTTTCTCCTGGTTTTGTTCACTCAGGATTAAAAAACACTTCTGCTTCGATGTTTTAAATTACATGTCTATTTTAACTCTGCTACTGGCAAATCTTTGCCTATCTTAGCACAATGGAAGCATTCACCATTTTGCCATCATTGGCCTCTTAGGTAAATAACGGAATATCTCTGACCCTCAGGGAAGGGGAAAAAAACATTCAACAGTTACACCACTGCACTTTGGAATAGAGCCCTCAAGACTGGCAGGAAATAAAAGGGAAAATAGCTACAATGCATACAGTAGGCTACTAATCACTCCTTCCACCCCTCTAAACAGTACGCTCAGCTTATGGGGTGCTCTATAGCTGAAATGGCATAATGTTGGCCAGCATACCTGGTAGACTGAGCTATTCTCCTCAGTCTTCAGGGAGGAAACTAATAAGAGTGTTAAACAGAAGTTGGAGAGCTAAGGGAGGTCTAGACCAGAGGAGTGCGACGGAGGAAGGATGCATGGTGCTGGAGAGAGGATGAGAAGGGGCAATTGCCTCGCAGGTGGGATGGAGTAACAGCATGAGCAAAAAGGGAACATATCTGGGTGTCAGGGTTAGGTTTCTAGCATCTGGGTTGGTTTGTCTAAAGTAAAAGGTGAAGGTACAGAGGGAATGTGATCGAGTAGAAAATTAACAAGTCATGTAAACATGCTTTCAAACACACTTAGAAGTATAATCTCAGTATTCTTTCAATCAGTGACTGAGGAATAGGAATGGCTTGAGACAGCTGATGGGGCTGTCATGTCCCGTCTTTTCTTCCAAGTAGATACTTGCCTGAGATGCTTATTGGTCAACCCGAACTGCTGCCATTAACAGAATGCACTGCAAGAGAACCTGTGACCTTCAGGGAGCCTAAAATTGTTCTTGCCAGTAATGGCAGGTTCAGGAGTGGACTGACAAAACCTCAATTTGTGCAGAGAGGAAGCAGAAAACAATCAGGGCAGGAAACTCAACAGTCTCTAACTAGAATTTGTAGCTTTGTTAACCAAGTACATGGGCTTTTTTGAAAACCTTTTCCAAGGCATATAATAAAATTTCAAGGCTGGTGCTTTAAAATATTCCATAATTCATTTTTTCACATGTGAAATACAGATTTAGAAACTTCTACAGAAATGCATATAATTACTGCTACCACAAAAAACCTACAGCAACGGTACTATACCTGAAAAACACACAAAGCCATAGTAAGAATGTCTGATTTTATAGGTGGAGAAGGATCTAAAAAGAATTGTTCATTTCCAAACAGAGTTTACGTATACCATCATTTTTCCACCTAAATTGAGCACTCACAGGTTGCAAAGGGACACTGACAGTGGATGCAGAAGGGCTATTACAATATGCAAGGCTGATCATGTACAACATTTTGGATTTCTAGACCATTACAAAATTAATATGCTTAAAACTGTTCTTGAAAAGTCACCAAGAACTTCTGTCCAGTATGGTTCCATAGAAAGGACTCTAATCTGTGACGTCTTCAACACAACACTGCACTGGAGAAAGTGCTGTTAATAAGCCTCCTTTACAGAACTATAAAGCCTCAGATCTACCAGCTAGCATTCTCATACAGCCTAGATCAGTAGAGTTAATATGCAAGAAAATTCACATCCAAAATGAATTTTAAACAAATCTGGGGCCTAAACGTAACTTAAATAGTCACTCCAGAGCAAACAAAACCCCTTGGATTATTTTTTACCCTCAGAATAGTCTTGAACAGAACAAGACCAAATGTCATGTTGCATGAATGACCTAGGAAATAATCCCATTTCTTCCAGTCACTCCATACAGCTACTCACTGAAGATGGAGATTATTGCTTCACGGAAGGCAGAGGAGAATATGACAAATTTCTGTAAAAATAAGAGGTTACAAGTACTAAATAACCAGCATTCCACCCCTAGGGAACAGGGAGGGACAGCTGTACAATGCAGGACAAATCAGAGTTGCATGGCTAAATGCAACCAAATCCCTTAGCAACCTGTACAATGATCAGTTCAGAAGGAATTGCTTTAGTTGCAAATTCATAAAATAACCACAGCACAGAGCCTTAGGCAACACTGGGCTGCTCAGCTTCAAGGTTGCATAGTTAAATTTAGATATTAGAAGACTAAAAATTCAAGAAACACTCCACGAAATGGAAGCACAGATATATACATTAACCACTCAAGCAATTTCAATTAGGGTTAAGCTTCATAACAGAAGAGCATGTTTATTAAAACTAGTTTAAACATAAAGTGTATCATATTTCTACACAAAACCTGCAATACCCATCACAGAAGAGAAACAAAACCCTCGAAGTTCAGCAGCAGTGTAAATTTCTACACGTATGTTACATTTGTTTATTCTGGGGCCATAACTCATCTGCCTTCAATTTTGTGCCCCTGGTTAGGTAGGTATAAAAATAGAGCAATTCTGTATAGGTGTCATGCAAAAAACCTACAAATGCACTTCAAGAAAAATCACAGGGCCTATTTCCAAAGTTTAAAAAATTAATTTCTGAATATGTGCACAGTACGAGTGTCTTTGAAGAAACACTACTTTGTTGAAAGCTTTGTTATATGTTAATTTCTTCAGAAGGCAGTCTGCAAACAGCAATAAAATTTGCGCCCTCAGTTGCTACCTTTCAAGTTTATGGGACAGAGGTGTTTACTAATTGCTGCACACTGACATGCATGAAGTGATTGGATGTGCACTTGCAACTACCTCTGCTTGTGCACAGACAGTGTAAATAAACATACTGGGAAGTACTTTTGCCCTTCTTTCTCCTGACTGAGATCCATGGAAAGCTGACATGCAAGGTCCCATTACTTATGGTCACAGCAGAGCAGCTGACAGTACAAAGCAAGCAGTTAATGGAGATTTGGAAACGACCTTCATAGTATCGACAGTTTCATTAATATCTGTTTTTACTATTAGCTGTCACTAAAGGCAAATTATATTATAGGAATTTTGAAGTCTTCAGTAAGTTGCTACTAATAGGAGTATAGGGAAAAACACTGCTTAAATCAATGCCTTCTTTCAGGTCTGATACAAAACAGAGTCCTGACTACTGCCTAAAACAGTGTTTGAAGCTTTAGAGCTACAAGATTTGCATTCATAAGTTTCCATTTCCTAAGACTGAAAAGCAATACTGTCAAACTGAGGATCTGACCTTACAAGCTCGGCCAATCAAAGCTACATAACCTCACCCTTCTGCATTCAGCTTCAGACACTATTTTCAGAGCTGGCAAACAGAACCAGAGACTAACTACATACTGCTTTATGCTACTTCAGTAGGTAACTGACCACAGAAATAAGCATTTAGTATTTACAGCATCTGATGCATGCAAAAATCATATTTAATGTACCAAAATAACAACTTGATTTCATGAACTACTATAACAACAGAAGAAACAGTCTTACAGTTAAATCTGTCAAAGTTTGAGCCTTGAAGACCAAAACTCTTAAGAGCTGTTGCATCTATGTAAGAATGTACACTTCCGTATTTAACTCTAACCTAGCTACCATCTTGCTGAATTTCTAAGTACATCACATTTAAAAGGACAACACACTGTCTGAAATGAACATCCAGGAGGTGGACATCCCTGGAATCTAGATGGTACTAATCCTGGAGGAGACTGAGCTCACCATCCAGTAAATGCCATGCTGATACTCAGTACTCAGATGAGAACTGCGGTTGCACTTCTTCCCAGTTTCCATTTCAAGGGAAGCTAAGTGCCCTGTCTGGGTAATTTGGGGCTATAACCCAGGTACTCCTCCTACCATACTCTTTAGAGATACCCCATCACCCAGGAATGCTGCACTTTAGAAGTGCTGTAGGAGTGAGCCATGGGCATGGAGCAGAACATGCAAGGAGGCGGGATGGACACTAGACCGCTTGTCTGGGAACATCTTTGGGAGATGAAGGGTGGGAAATAAAAGAGGCTTTTATCCCTGCTCCATGACCATTTCTAGTTTTACTCAGCCATTGTGCATAACATATACACACATGCTGGTATTCAAGGTCTGAATATTAGAAGCTATGGAGCTTCTTAATTTAACCAATAGAGCAGGTTTTCATTCTGACCCATTTAATTGTCCTGAAATGACTGTGCTCAGCAGGCAGGATGCTCTATTAGTTATGTGGCACAGTATCCAGGAAGAATAAAAATCCACACATCAGTATGTTTGTCCTTACCACAGGCGATAGTCCAATAGACCAAGGAGTCTGGTGCTTGGTAGAGAATTCGATATGGTGCCACTCTGGCACTGGAGTCCAACACGACATCAAGAGTACCCACAAGGAGACCTATGGAACAGGAAATTTTGATGAATACACAGTAATGAATCATCCACGATTCCACAGGAGGGGGCTCCGCAGCCCCCCGCCTCCCCGTTCCATTTCACCATCCACAACAAAACGCAGACCTATGTATTCATCCTCACACTTGTTGCCTCATGTTGGAAAGAGGCAGAGTGACTCAACAGGGAAAAACCTTCAGCTTCAACAAGACTTCAACTCTTAAATATACATCGATTCTAGCATAAAGGCAGACAAATTGAAGCAAAGCAGAACGTAGCTGTTTTATAAAACCATGTTTAGAAGTAATTTAGTTCTTTCTTGTCTTTCATATACTGTTGGAGCCCTGGGGACCAAAAAAAAAAAAAAAAAGCACCCACCACAACATCCACAAAAAACCCCAGACAATATGCCCTAGAAGGGTTCAAAACTCAAGTGTCAGCTAGAAAAAGCTAAGACTTCCAGCAAAAATAACTATGCTTCCTAATGGTCTGATTCTTTAAGGCAGAAAAGATCAAAATGCCTAACCACCAAGCTGTTTTTCAGCTGAAAGGATACTGATGAAAGACAAAGCCACACTGTTTTTCTGAAGTACCTTTGAAAATTCTTTGCTACTGGGGGGGACATCAACAGTTGCATACCAAATGCTATCAATAATTCCTAACTATATTTCCACAAATTCTAGATCCTATTTTAATAAATCACACACACACAAAATTCTACCCTCCCATGCCCTCTCCCACAAGAAGCCGTACTTATTTTAGAAGCTGTAAAAGTTTTCCCCCTTTTCATTTCCACAAAGAATTTTCATCTCCCCTGCAGAGATGTTAGAATTAAATTCTTCTGTTAAAGTTCTCAGCAAGTTCACATATTGAAAACAGATGGATGAACTCTCAAAGATTTTTTTTTTTTCTGCAAGTATTTATTGGGGTAGAAATTAGGATTTTTTAAACAGCTGAAATAAACTGCATGCACCAAAAAACTATTCTAAAACACTCCTGTTAAAATCCTCTTCTCCTTTCAAGTGGCTGTTTCCATCTTTTATCGTCATAGCTTTATTAGTTCCCCATTCTGCAGTGTCATAACTGGTACAGAAGACTGTTTCCCTTTCTGTTCTTCTTTCATCTTTGCTTTATGCATCACAAAGATATAAAAGCACTACTCATTTTCCATCTTAGTAGATCCCTTAAATCCAAACTGAAACTGATATGTGGAAATACCTCACCTACCACCTGACTTTGTATTCCCCATTCTATGTTTTTTATTTGTATTTTGTTTTATACAGATCTTCACAGGCCAGATCAAATGTCATCTCTTCCTGCCCAATGCATTAATGTCCACTATTTTTAATCCAAGAATGCTAAAATACAGAAGAAACAAGCCTGAATACAACATCAGGTCATTAGTAAGCAGTGTTAGAGAGCTATCTGCTGTTTATAGGATATGAGCACAAAATATTAATGTAAAATATTCCTTAGTCTAACCAGCTTTAGTTGTTCCTATTGCCATCTTAAACCCCCACCTCTCATGCATTTTGATTACTGGTGTACACTGACAAGCTGCCTCTGATCAATCCTCCACCAGCCCTCCTTGACCCCTTTCAAACTCAGGAGACTGAAGTAGGTCCTCTAAACTGCTTAACAAAACCAGCACGGCCCTAGTCCATAAAGAACATGTGTGCTTCAACCACGGGCAAAGATTCACAAATGCTTAAAGCTGCTGGTGAGCTCAAGAGTATTGCTCAATCGGAGTGCAGACCAAGCCAGACACTACACTGCGTTAATCATCTGGGTTTGCTGCAAACGTGTAGCAGAGCTTATGCCAAAGATTCTTCATGCTTAGCAGCTTCACTTGTCTACAGACAGTACTAAATATGCAGTAGGCATGATGTAATATCTAAATAAAGTTGCATGCTGGCCAAATGTAATCTTCTGAGCTACAGATGCACTGTTAAGGCCCTGTAATCTTTAAAAATTTTCTTGTTTCTTTCCTCCTGCTGTTCCAAATCCATTGGTGTGTGGGTGGTCCTGCCAACCAATTCTGCCACTAGTTCTAGGAGGGCACTGCAGCTGTAAAAACTGGGATACACAGGTAAGGTCAGGGAGCCAGCACAAACCTACTGACTTGTGCAGCAACATCAAGCTGAGAGGAGCTTCCCATCCTACCTCCTTCTCCTTGAGACAGGAGAGGAACATCCCCGAGACAGGAACATCCCCCTGTCCCACCAAACAGAAACAATCTAAGACAGAGCAGTGTATTCAAGAAATGTGGAGAGTGCTATAAAAAAAGAAGAGTGACTAGCCAGCACTGAAACTGGGAGATAGGCAAGGTAAAGAAAAGAAAGAATACTTTCCCCACTGGTGCAGTAAGTAGGAGTTGCCCAGTGCCTTTTCAGCAATGGAAACGGGCTGTAGAAATATCCATGCAGTGAGGTTAAAGGAAGAAAATACACAGAACTCCAGAAGACCCCATGAAAATTCATAGTCTAGCTTAGCAAGATAACTGCAACAGACAGTTTGTCCATAAAATTTTACTTATGTAATAGCTGTTTTCGTATATGATGTATGTGATATTTTAAAAATAATTTATGTGTTCTTACATAAAGCCAGTTAATATTTACTCTTGCAATCATGCAAATAACCCTGACTGCTGTCCTTCAGGAACTGTTCCATTTTGCATTGTAGGCCAGTGTTGTTGTTTTGGGTTTGTGTGTTTGTTTGGTTTTTGTAGTGCAGACATGTGATCCAACCAGAATGAAATCACAACAGTTCTAACTGATAATCTGAGGAATTTCTACATGAAGTGATCGTAATAAAATTTAAAACAAACCAATTTATTTTAATAAAGTTCATTAATTCTTCATATAGCAAGTACCTTTTGAGACTCAATTAAGAAACAAGTAACTGAAAGCTTCTATAGAAACAGGACAGATAACCAAGAATCGTATTTTTTAGATTAGACTGGTCCTTAGGCAAGAGCCAGTGAATCATCCAGACATCAAATCATGCGACTATACTGACTGCAAATTTTTTTCCCATTATTTCATCAGGTTTCTGACTACATAGTGAAATAAGGGAAGGAATTCCCCATGTAAGAACACTAAATCTCGAGCCCTGGTTCAAGCAAGCAGTTTTCTTGAGCAAATATTTAAAGGAGGTGTTAGAAGTTTGTGGGATCAGCGTCTGACTAACTGATGATAGCCCTCATCCTGAAAGCACTCAAGCACAAGTGACCTTATATCAAGGAACAGTCCCATCAGACACACATGCCAAGTGTCTAGAGCAACCACACCTACATATGCGGGCATGAGGGGAAAGGGGAGGGATAATGCCTTCCTTTTGTTTTACACAACTTTTTGAATAAAGTCAGCTTCCTCTTTCACAAACTTGTATTCTAAAGCAAAGGTCCAAAAAATTGTTAAATATTTTCTTTCTTGTCTGTAAAATACAGGTATTAGCAGAGGAAAAGCAGTGAAATGTAATTTCTGAAACCAGGGAATACATAGTCACAACTGGCTAGGGCGCCTGGGCAATTGCTCTAGCATCACGTTACTGGAAGGACATACAATGTGCTAGAGGGTATGACTGGAAAGGGGTTCCGTTACCTAATGCAATCTATGCTGAAGGAAGAAATTATACTACATTTTACTTACCTGACCACTGTGCCTCACAGTTAGTTGTAAGCTGGAGGGGAGCCTATAACCATTGCACAAAGTATACAAATTAGTAGTCTGTATTAATGCATTAAGTTATGATGTACCGTACTTGTATTCTTAAACTAGCAACTGATTTTCAAACTTTTTTTTGCTAGAAGAGATTATGACCACATGAAGCCTGACCTCCTGCATAACACAGACCCCCTTTAAGCCAAATGATTTCTATCTGACCAAAGGACATTTTTCTGAAAGTTAGGTCACCTTGATTTGAAAGCTAAGCCAATTGATTCAGCCAGTTAAGACTCTTCCAAGCACCACTGCACTCCCGCCTCTTTGGGGACCAGCATTCCAGACGGCTTACGATCCAGAGTGATTACAAATTGCACACAAACACTAATGAAATCAAGGGATGCCCTGTAGTAGAATCAACTTGGTACGCTGTAAGTTACCTCCACTGAAAACACATGCACTTTAGAGTATATGGACTCAAACACTTGTAATAAGCCACAATGTTTTCAGCTGTTTGGATATCTGTGGCACAGATCTTTGCTGCAGGAATATTTCCCCATCTTTCTTTCCTTTCTTTTAAAACATAACTAGTGATTATTTTTTTATCTTTCAGAAGAATTTGCAGGTTTCTTTACAAAACACCAATTACTGGTGTTTTTAAAGGAAAAGCAAGTTTATGCACCCTACACGCGAACAATCTTTTTTATCACAACAGGATTTTCTTACTGACAAACAGTAATCCTCTCTCACAAAAAGTCACGCCTTGATTTAAACAAAACACACACAAAGATCAAGTAGTCTTTATCACCTTTCTACAGTTCCCCTGACAGCAATCTTATGATTCTGTTTGTGAGCCTGAGGTGTTTTACCTGCTAAAATACACAGGTTTCTCAAAGTAAATGGAATTAAATATTAAATAGTGAAGATCTGGATTATATATTACCTCTAGTGCACTTTACTAAAACACAGAAGCCAATTTATTTACTGTTTATGAATGATAATAAAGAATGACACTTCAGAGATTAGAAATTACCGGCCATGGCTTTGTAGCACAGCAAACGTTATCAAAAAGCTCAGGACAATATCAGACAGTGACACTTCCCATTCATCTTTAACCATGCAGTCCTCAGACTCGAGGTGCTTTCAGCACACACCAGTGATGCATCCATTCATCAGTGTCACAGGCAACTTGCATCAAACCTTGCCTAGAGCTGGCAGGAGGTCACTCCACGGCTGTTGCCACTATTGTGCCTGATAACTGCCACCCTGGGACACCCTCCCCTCCTCCAGGTTGCCAGACGACAGGCATCTGTTACTCCCCTGGCTCCTGAGAGCCAAGCCCTGC